AATTAACGTTCATTTTAGTAACGGAATGAAATCGACGATATTTTCGAGAGAGATTTTCTTAATAGAGAAACATCGTATAACAGTGCCAAAAAAAACTTTAATCACTTTGCGCGATATGCGAGATGAGCTAAATGTAAATTTTAAAGTTATATATATATATATATATTTCTCTATCTCTTCTATTTTTATGTGCAAAGAAATGCGCGCGCATATAAATATTACATAATATTTACGTGTATCATCTGACAATTCGGAGAATTTTTTGAAAATCTCCGTGATGTATTTTTGCGAGGCATGAGAGGAGACATTTTTCAAATTTCAGATATCGCCGGCGGTTACCTGTGCTTTATCGTCAGCATTCTGGGGATCGGCGTTGTTACGGCGATAATCGGCGACGTTGCCTCGTATTTCGGTTGCACTCTGGGCATCAAGGATTCAGTCACCGCGATAGTATTCGTCGCCCTCGGTACCAGCATTCCCGGTGAGTATCCAAAAATCTGAGGCCAACGTATCGGGCGGGCGAACGGTATTTTGCGAGAGGGAGCGAGCGGAGTATTAGAAGAGAGATGCGACCCCAACATGTCCCTCGATCCCACGTTATATAGTTTACCTTCCGCATTTCGCATTGATCGCATTCCACTTACGACGTCTACCGTATTACGACAGGGGAGGCTTTTCGGGGGGGGATTAAGCGAGGAGGAGAGCAATGATAATTTATCGCACTTTGGTCTTTGTGCGCCCGGCGAATAATGGCTGCCGACGCGCTGCCTATGTTCTTTCCGTATACCGGATGGAACGCGTTTGACACCGCCGATGAAACTCGTGGATTCGAGTTAAACTTTCTCGTCCGTCCATCCATCCGTCCGTTCCATGCGCCACCGCCGGAGGGTCCCGCGGGTCCCGTTGAAAAATTTCATTGTAAAATTGCGATATTGCGAATATACGTCGCGCGAACATTAAAACCGCGTCGCGGTCGTAAAATTGCCGGGCAACATTAAAGGGTTCGCCTTTAGGAGACTTACGCGCACACACAACGTTGCGGTGCGCAATATATTTACGTTAAGGGATTACGTACATTTTCAGGGAGGCCAAAAAATACAGCAATCTTCTCCGCCTTTTCTCTGAAATGCAAGAAATTAAACGCGATGGCGCGCGCGGAAGAAAATAATACATTACAAAAACCTTATTCCGTCTCTTGCGTTACAAGCTTCCAATGTTTATACCGTTACAATGTTAACCGTGTTTTCATCTCTTCGTTTCTACAACATTTTTTCGCGCTGCAACATTGCATTGTAATTTACAAGATATTGCATCTCGTTGCTGCATTCTAATTAAAATGTTCCATGTTGGAGTTTTTCAAACACTTCAGATTCCAAAATATTTCTTTTTTTTTATATTTAAAACCGGACGAGAGAAAGAGCAATAATTTTATTAAAAAATACAATTTTTAATAACGTTTTTAAAAGATACAATTTAATAACTGTAGTTGAAGATTCATCATGCTTTATTGCATCAACAATTGATGAAAGCATACACGTTTACGAAAATCAATTGCATAAAAAATCTTCAGAAGCAATTATGGCCTGACCTTTGTCTTCTATTTTTATACGCGTAAAATTCACGACGCGAGGGCATTTAATAAATCACTTGAGTGGGCGTTATCAAAAGCTATTAAAAGCGTAACGACAGGCCGCGTCATTTCGAGTTTCTGGGTCAATAGGTTACGTCCAAAATTTACATCTAAAACAGCGCTGTGGCTCGAAATTGATTATCCCAAATATGTCCATAAAATCTTAATGTTCAGTGAACGTGTTGCAGCTATGCTCCATTTCGATGCAGAAGGGAAACACACTTCTGCCCTGTAATATTAATTATTGTTTTAACTTATACACGGTAAAAATATCCCAACGTTTCTTTGTTACAAATTCGTGTTTCATAAATAAAAATACGGCATGGATTTTACGTCGTGGGGCAGCGAGGATAGGTTTTAAACGTATAACTTTGTTTTCACCGTAACGCACGTCCGCGGAATATGAAACGTTACTTTTTGTCGGAAACAACTGAGCACGCAGAAAATTTCAATAAATATTTATTATGAGATGTCTTTTAGATATTAAAATATTTTAACACTTTCGGAGACTTCAATAAGTTTTATGAAATGTTTATCCATATTTTAATATTGTTATTTATAAAATTTCTCATAAAGATCGATCCTCCAATTTTTATTCTTTTCTTCTCCCTGAAAATATAATATAAATAATACCAGCTTTCTCTCTCTCTCTCTCTCTCTCTCTCTCTCTCTCTCTCTCTCTCTAAACAGAGAATACGCATTCCGAAATTGTGTTTGTCCTTAAAATGCCAAGTCTCACATCGACTGAATATCGATGAGATTTGCATGATGCACGGCTTCTTGGCTGGATTACTTAAGGCCACTGTGCTTTCCTTCTATACTGTGTTTCTTCCCTCTCTTAGAAACTTTACAGGAAACTTTCTTCTCCCAGAACCCCATCAATATTTATGCCGGAGGATACCTCCGATCTCCCAAAGTACCGCTCACCGAGATCGGTTTGGCGATTTTTCTCGCTGTATCACCAGCAAAAGAAAACGCAAGAAGGGATTTATTTAGACTAATTATTTAGAGTGTCCCAGAATTGCCTACAACATGGTAATCAAGAAACATTCTCCTGTTGCGTTAAATCACGCGTGGCAAATAGCGAGGCAAACCGCATATCTGTATGCATATAGATATGCTCATTATTTCACGTCAATCTGTTTATATGCAATTAATCCTATAATTTTTATTAATATATGTATGTAATTCTATTACACTTTTAAAAATGTATTCATTTTTACTTTAATATTGAGGAACGTTCGACAAACCTAAATCTTCTATTTCTTTTTAATGCTATATTGGATACAAAATCTCAATAATCAATGTTCATTTGGAAGATGTTTATCGGCTAATTTGCCTCAAATCGACCCGTTCTAATTGCTGATTGATCGTTGGTAATAGATTATGAGATTTTTAATTATCGATTTGATAATTAATCGTTAATTAATTTACCGATTAATTACTAAAAGCAAAATATTAAGTACAATTAATTACTGTCTTATGCTAATGCGAGAGTAAGGTTGACTATCATTCACAGTGGATGAATTATGCCGAGCGTCACTACTGCAGTAGTAATGTAATACCAAAGGCATACACTTGACGTAAGCCCTGCGTAAACAATCGTCCTCGCTGTAATGACTAATTAATTATTGTATTGTTGGTACGTATACAACGGCAGGAATACAGAATAGTTAGCGACGCGAACAGAGGACGAAAAACCACTAGAGAATGCAGCAACGAATCTAAATCTACGGATATAATATATAATTTTTATAATAACGAGAAAATTTTATTTTATAAAAATCTCGCTTGTCTCTCGATTATCAAAATTCTCAAGTAAATATTTTATCGGGTGTACGAACTTTCCCGACGAGTCTTCACAGACGATTTTCATCCACGTCCGCCGTACCGTATCAACGTACACCCGTGTACCGTGTTCAATTTAGAAATCGTCGTATTTACCGCGGCGCGCGAATTTCTCGAGCGCGCGCGTTTTACCATTGTTGTTATCGAGCACACACGGTGTCTCGCGTCATATGCCCTCGGCAACTACCCGGAATTTTCTTACCCTTGCTGTGCGACAACGACGACGTATATGAGCGCTCGCGTTCTCTCGCATTGCACTGCAGCAGCCTGCCGCGCTCAACTCTCCGCGCGACCGAACTTACACCGCCGTAAACTGCAAACTGGTACAAAGCCGCATATTCCAGGCCATTACCGCAAATCGCGTCCTGCGGCACAACCGGGCTTTAAGTGCACGTTGACGACCTTTGATTCTCCCGGCGGAATGCGAGCACTAAAAACCTCCCGCTTTTGTTACTTGCGCGCGCGGGGCGGACACACGCGCGACACATGTATGCTACGCGGTATGCCGCGCGACGTGTGAAAATCACGGTTTTATAACTCTCGGCGTAACGGCCGCGAGTGAAGCGTTAAACTTGCGGGTAAATAAAAAGCGATATCGGTTAAATTGCAACCTTGGGCACCGCCAACCTTGACCATTCGGCGGAAAAATGTATTTTTAAGAACGGACTGAATGAAAAACGCACGCGACGCTTCGACCGTTGAAAATTTGCTTATTTATATATAATTTCATGTCTGGGAAACTGTAAAATTGACAAGTTTTTAATTCCTTTATAGCTCCTACGTAAAATATTTACCACCGCATATTTAAATATGTACCAACTCTCTGTTGAAAATATTAAAATGTCAAACTATTTCATAAAGGAGAGAAGAGAAGTGCGTGATATAAAATTTGAAGTATTTTAATTTTTTTTTTGGTGAGAAATTACTTTTCTTTTCGGTACTACAAGTTAAGAAATAAATCATTGGTCATTTCATTAAAAATATAAGAATAAATACAAATAATTTACAAAATAAGTAAAGCGTTGAGAAAAGAAACATTTATCTCTAATAGAAATATTCGAAATATTTTAAGTGCTTTATAAAATACGTATGTTACAGTGATCATTGTAACATTCAAACGGCATTCTAATAAATCACGTCGCCTCGTTGCTCACGCCCTAATAGCTCCGTGCGATCTCGTCAAAGTGACAAAGACTCCGAATTATTTCAGACACGTTCGCGAGCAAGGTGGCCGCTTGCCAGGACAAGTATGCCGACGCGAGTGTGGGCAATGTGACTGGAAGTAACGCGGTAAACGTCTTCCTGGGAATCGGCGTCGCGTGGAGTATCGCCGCCATTTACCGTGCTTGCCACAACGAGCAGTTCTATGTCAAACCTGGCAAGTAAGTAACAAAGGCAATTACGAGCATCCGGCGTGCATAAAAGTGCACGATTCCAGGTGAACAACTTACCTTCGAATTTAAAGCATGGTGGTACCCGAAGACCAAGGTGATTACCAAGGTGATCAGGCGTTTAAAACATATTTTTCTTAAAACACGACAGATAATAAATAATTATTCTTTTATGTAGGTACATTATTTTTTTTATTATACATTCAGAGAAAAAGACACATAATTATAAAGGTGACAACTATACAAATTTTTATATGCAGAATTAATGTACCTACAGTTGAATAAATTTTGTTATAGATTACTATAATCAATTAAATAGTTTATTCAACTACGTATATTAATTTTGCATACAAAACTTGGATAGTTGTTATCTTCATTAATTATTTCAACATCTTAATAAATTATTTTAATAATTTTTATTATAATAATTGCCATTACAAAATGGTTTATTCAATTATGTACATTAATTTTGTATATAAGACCTGCATAGTTGTCACTTTTATTAATTGCCATCGCTATGTCCTTTATTAGTTGCTACTATTTTTTTTTTCTAAATGTATATGTAATAATATTTTTTATTATGCACATAAAACTGATATTGATATATCGCACGGTTTATTTCGTACATCAAGCGAAAATTACGCCGGTATTTCTGGAGATATATCACTGAACATTTATTTCTCGTTACTCGGCCGTTATCTAGTAAATAAAAAGATATATTTGCGTACGTGTGTAAACGCGTGTATTTATGTCAGTTAAGTTAGCAAGAAAATTGGTTTTCGATTAGTGAGTCATAAGCCCGTGACGCGTACACGAGCGCGTTTTCACGGCTGTAGTTCGGAATTGTGCGAACGGCATATCGTATATACCACGGTGACACGAGCACACGTTACGTCAGATTAAGTAAAGCATGACCTCGATAACCGCAAGCATTATTTCCCATTTACGATCTCGTTCGTGAAACTATTTCTAAGATATTTGGTCGAGAAGCACGGCGAAGAAGCAACTTGGCCGACGTACGTCGTCCTTGCGCGATATGGCGACAGTTAACGCGACCGCCATTGTGTTCCGTGTTATGAAATTGCCGTTTGTGAAATTTCGAAAAGGAATTACCCGAGAAATTGGCTATTTATTTGCGTCAACGGACATAATAGACACGTGATATTGAAGCGAAATCGGCACTGCCTCTGGATTATTTGCATATTAATATGAAGAGAATGACTACAGTTCCTTATTTTTTAACATTATTTTTGTGGTCATTATTTTATCGTCGCGAATATAATACTGTTAGGAATCTTAGAAAACTGTTAAAAAGTCCCTACCTTATGGTGTACGATTTTTTTTACGCCGTAACGTTGACATCGCATCCTATTTCGCGAGGATTTCAACGGATTGCCCGACCGCGGAATGAAGCGGTGTACCCTGGCCTCGTATATCGGATGATGTTGGGTGTTTCCCGGGCGAGGACACGCTACAGTACACCGTGTTGCACCGTGTACAATACTTGTTGGGACGATTTGAAACTCTAGGCTTAGTTTCTGGGTGTGCATTACAAACTTAGACGAGTGCATTACTTACCAGAGCGTATTACAGTTCCCTTTTGTTTATATGAGAGTAGTCATTACTATAAAATATATTATTTTTATTATACATTATTTAATATTTACAGTACTGTATTAGTTAATAATAAAAATCGACATACATAAAATAAATATTAATAATATTAATGTAATTATTAAAAAAATAGATTTCTATATTAAAAAGTGAGTACAATTCACATGTTATACATATCAAATTATATATATTAAATTCTAGCGTTGAAGAGAATGATTCTCTTATTTTTATATTAGGAAATATTTCTTTTGGAATAAGATTAGCGGCAATGTTTTTGCCTTGAAATTAGAAAATAACGACAATTTGTTAAGAATAACAGATCAACCTGATTGTGTACAGGCGTGTCTTTAAGATGTATAGACACAGGTGATATTATAATGGCCGCGATCGAATTCGCAAGTGCTCAGCCGTCGATTGACTTTCAACGATATAGTTTCGACATCGCCGATTGGAATTGGAAATGAATCTGCGGTTGCATTGGAAAAGTTTTCTGTCATTTATTTTCAGAGCGAGAAATTTCGGCGAAACACTAGTTCAAAATTTTCAAAAATTTAGCAAGAAGATGGAAAGAAAATATCTTCTGCTTTCTTTGCTAGGTTTTTAAAAATTTGATTTTATATAAATTTAATAAATATAAGTACAGCGCACAGATATATATTAAAAAAAAAAACATTTAAACGATTAATCGAAGTACTTCAATTTTCAGAAATTTCTGCCTTCAAGTGACATCATTGTTTCAAAAAGAGATTTAAATGATCGTCGTAAAAGAGTTCAACGCTTAATTTCACAGTTGGTTGCACGCGTCTCTTTATGCAAAAAAGATCTTTATGCAATCTTACTGTTGCTTCCTCCGTGTATTACACAACTACATCCGGATGCCTTTCTTTCCATGGCGCAGCTTGGCCTTCTCCGTCACCCTATTCTGCAGCGAGGCGTGCTTCGTGATCGTGGTGCTGCTGGTGAGACGAGTGAAGTCGATCGGCGGCGAACTGGGCGGACCTTTTATACCGAAGCTCGTCACGTCCGTGTTCCTGTTCTCTCTCTGGCTGCTCTACCTCATCATGTCCACCCTTGAGGCCTACGGCGTGATCCAGGGTTTCTAAACCAAGGCCAATGCGACGCCATTACGTCGGCCTATCCACTGCGTATATCTTAGCTCTGGCGTCCGCCAAGGCACGTGCTCAACGAAACTATTAACCGGTAAAGATCTCTAATTCACTTTTAATCGCAGCTCTGTTTTCGCCGTACAGTATACGTGCGTTATACCGTGTCCCTTTTTATAAAAATTGAAAACCCATTATACCTCACTTAAATAATTAAATATTTATATCAATGTTTTACATTACTGCAGTCTATTAAAATTATATGAATTATATTCAGTTTAAGTTGTTTAAGATGTCCATTTATTGTATGAAATTGGAACAACAGTGTCAGCTGTTATAAAAGGTCTGATTCAATTATACTTTCATTATGAAAAGAGGAATCGACAATTACGCTTCTTCATTTTTTTTTTAACGACTGCTAATCAGTCGTTTTTTACGACAGAGCTGTGTGAATGCCGTCAGAACAATAGCAAAAGAGTATATAGAAGACAGAAGCAATTAGATGATTACAACGTTTTTGGAAAAATTAATTAACCCTTCAATAAAAGTACAAAAGTTCCTCACCATCCGATATTTAATCCGTTATACCTTCTATTTCAATTTAATAATTATTACCCACTCTTAATTCATTATCTTGATTGTATTTTAATTTGATTTAACTGTGCTTTTCCTAGCGTTTTATTTCTTAATTGCTCATACAATTCCTAATTCCTCGAATTTTCCCCATCCATGTAGGTCCGTTCGGTCTTTCGCTTTAAACGATCCTAATTTTGATTGCAGGACACAGATGCGGTATCGGAACGATACGATTTCGCGAAGAACGAACTCTAATTGTGCCGGGAACTCACATAAGTTCATCCTCTGAGACGATTAACAACGAACACGTTCGCGTGACGTATTAAATGGATATGTGTATGTATGTGTATGCATGTATAGGTATTCTGAGAACATGGGGAGCGTGCTTATAGCGAGCGTGTCAAAGGGAGAAGAAAGCGAATCGATGGAGGGAAGGACGGACACGGAGAAAAAGGGAAGGAAAGAAGCATAGAACCGAGAAGAGAAAAATGTGCGCGCGTGAGAAAAAGTGTGAGCTTGCCTTAAAAATAATTCAAAGGGAGAAATGAAGTAAGTGCGTTCTAGTCATGCCATATTCCCCGCTAAAAGAAAAAAAAAAGAGAGAAGATTTGGCTGTTATCAAAAAGTAAAAAAAAAGAAAAAAGGGAGAAAAGAAAAGAAAAAGGAGAAGAAATAGGTGGAAGAAAAACTATAGATAGTATACGTATGTACTGGTCGGTACGCGGGTACACACGCATATGTGTACATACTGTATTTATTTGTAATTCTAAGAAATACACACATAGGTTTCTATATGGTAATTACATAGGAGCGGATTGTATTGGAAAATTTCTTTTTTTTTCTCTGCGCGGACAACGGACGCGACGTCGGTAATTTTATATACATATATATATATATCTACGCGTACATATTGCTAAACAACACGTTACTTTTAACGGATGAGAGGGAGGGGGGAGGGGAAGGGAAGGGGGGGAAGAAACTTCGATGTCGGATCGATTGATGTCCGCGCGAGGGGAGATCTCGCGCGCAGGGAGGAGAGAAGAGTGTGCGCAAGCACGAATGAGCAGAAAAATGAGCGCGACAACTGTTGACACGGTTGTGCAATATACCAGCTCTGTGTCTGTCAGTGACTTTCCGTTCATTGCCATTTTGTAAATTTCTAACGAATTATTTCTGTATCCTGTATACCGGAAAAAATGGATATACGTGAAATTATCTAGAGATCCACTAGAAATACATTTTTCACACCTTAATCTCGTCAGCGTAATATATTTTAGTAATATACATATTAGATTTACTAAAGATTTTTCAACGAAAATCCTGCAGTACCAGGAGCAAAAGAGAAACGCGCGTCCAAAAGTTCGAAAAACAAAAAGACGAAACTGCGATTGATCGGTTATTGCATGACTGCATCGAATTTTTGTAATAGGATCGAAAAGAGAACATATAGTGCATTTTTATCGTTGCAAAAGAATTGCATAGCTACAAAAAAAAATGCATGTGGAGATCGCATGCTTGTGGAAACTAGTCGAGTTTTGACGCGACTGATTTTGATTGCTACTGATAAGGGTTGCCAGAAAAAGAGAGAAAGAGAGAGAGAGAGAAATTTTTTGTGTCTCTTCGTCTTTTTCGGATCCAGACGCAGAGCCTGTGTCACGAAATGAATAAATTGACGAACGGCTTTTGATGTTGGAGCGGAGTGATTACAGAGGCTCGTTCCAAAGTAGCAAAATTGCATTTTTAATAAAATTTTTTAACGAAAAGAGATTTCCTTCTTTTGATACGAATGCAAATATGAGGCAAAAGTTAAAGGATAATTTAAGTTTCAAGCCGGAAGGATGAGAGAGAGTGGCTAGTAGATGCAATAGAATCTAGACTCTTAGGCAATTCTGTTGACGATCGATAAACGTCTCTCAGCGTTTATTGTGAAATGTATTTATATCTTTTTTCGACGTTTAGAAATGGAAATTTTTTTTATAAGCGTGAACGTTTTCCTCATGTACTCACGTGTTCGTGGCCGTGTAGAGAGCAAAGTTTGCGCGACGCGTGCCACTCGGAATCGACGTGGATGGATATACATATATAATTTATAGGATGTTTTTAAGCAAGCACTTAATTACGTTGATTCACAGATCGTTTGTCGTCACAGCCGTTGATCAAAACCATTAATTTCCTCCCGTCGCGGCTCATTGGCTCTCTGAAAATGGCAGTATCAATTAAGGTGTGCATAATTAAGGCGGCGCACACCGCTCGTTTAATCTCAAAGTACCAATTAGAACCATGTATTAAAATTACGATGAACGACGTTATTAATTTCTTGAGCGTACAAAGTGGAAAATAAAAGTTTCATGTGACAAATTTTCTACGACTTTGGAAACTCTGATGACACGCGAACATCTAAAGAGATGTAAGAAAAAAAGAAAGAAAGTCGAAAAGATGTCTTGATAGAAGACCAAATGCGCCCATGTAACGTGTTCTAAAATCTTATAAAACATTTTTCTCTCGTGATTATTTCGCATATAGACGCTACCCGAGAGGGATTTCGAGATCGTCGTCAATCAGAGCAGCACAAATTGTTAGCAGACTTGATAACCGTCTTGCCAGCACAAGACCGCGTTATTGAATAACCAGCAGAAACATATTTACTGTTAAGAGTATATAGTTGTAGCGAAAGTGCGGCAGACGATAGACTAAAATTAGACTCATCTTCGCGAGTTGCATCGCGGCCTTCGTTCGAACGTAAATTACATTCGCCTTTAAAAAATTACAATGCGCGAAAAATCACCTTTCCTTTGCATATTCTAACGTCAGACGATTTGAATTCTCGTCCAAGCGATTAATTTCGTCTGCGAACATTCTTTCTGGATAAAAATTCAAATGTTTTGATGTTATAACGAGCGTCGTATCAGATTACGCAATGAAGAGTGAAGATTGGAAATTGAGGATTCGATCAATCAGGTGAAGTCAATTTTTGATCCGTTTCGCTTTGACTGGTCAAACTCTGATCTCCAATTCGCGATTCTCAATCTCCAAATTCGTAGTCTGATACGTATAGGCTTAATGGACGGAGAGGCGCGATTCTTCGCGGTGTGTTATTTTTGAAGGGGGGATGTCCTCGTCATCCTTGTGACGGATTATTGACCGAGACACTGCCTTTGATCGAGGGTCGCACTCGACGCGAGGCAACGGTTGTACAGCAGTTACATCAGACCCGACTACATTCGTTTAAACGTTATACGGAATGACTCCCGATACGATGTTGCTTAAAAGAAAAAAAAATCACATCGCATACTGAATTCGGAGTCAGAGGTACCGTATATCTTACGACCACGCAGCAATTGGAATTTTTACGTTTACCGCCATCGTTAAATACGAATCTCGATTATGGAGATTTTTTAAGTATATACGTCCGAACAGGCGTCCGTTTCTAGCGGTGTTCCATGAACACACGAGAGCGCAGAGAAAAATACCTCACGAGAGCGACGTGATTTGGATATTGTTGTTGGCATTTTATAACGTTAACCAGCTTTTGTAACGTTAGAGGAATGAAATTGTTTTCCATTCCCCTCGCCCTCACCCCCGACGAGTTTGTCCGTTGTCGTGATCCCGAGAGACGAGGATCACGAGGACGTGGAAGTGACACACATACACGCGGTGTTGCTTCGAGGGTGACGTTGTATCTTGAATGAAACTTACGGGCCGCCTACTCGCGGCACTCGTGTACAAATTCTATAACAGCTATACACCTGTTTGTTCCTATATATACGAGAGGAGTGTCAACCTAACTTATACAGAAGGGACGTATTAATGACTGCTGCTCACAGTATTATCGAAAGCGCGCGCGCGCGCGGTGAGATGAGCAATCGCGGACGAGCCATACACCCATCTCGTCGTCGGGTCGACGACTGCACTAATGGCGATTAGTGCCAATCCTGGTTCTCGCAACCTAACACTGCGTTATAAAATAAAATAAAATAAAAAAAAGAAACTAGTCGATCGAGAAAGAAATAGGGAGCGAATCGTTATTTTCGGACTTTCGCTTAACGACTGGAAGCGTACTTCTGCTCATTTGCTCGCGATAGGATTCTCTTGTTCTCTCTTTCTTTCCCCCCTTCTTGTCCTCCTTTACCTCCTTTGCTTCTTCTTCTTCTTCCACTCTTCTTGTTCTTCTTCTTCTTTTCTCTCTCGCTCTTTCTCTCTCTCTCTTTTCCTTCCTTCCTCTCCAGTCATATTGGATTATGACATCAAATAAAAGATTATGTATTGAATTTTCTTGCGGTATGATGATATCGCACACATAAGATATGACATAAGAACGTACTTACGGGTGCCATATAAACATTACAAGAGACATTGGATTATTCCGCAAAATTTAAAGCTGTATGTATTTCATTGATGGCATCTGATATGCTATATTTATTACGCTTATATTATTTATATATGCTCTATAGGGTTTAAGTGACGTTAATCTACCGTGAGAATGCCATCATTTGTGTTTACTCGAGACAATGAATTATTTTCATATAATAAGTAGCTACAAATTACCTTCGCTTGTCAATTTTTTTTATTTTCCAGGTTTACTTTATTTTATACGTAGACGGGAACCCATTTATTTCGAGATACAGATACAGAAAAAGAATTTAATATGATCTTACGATTGTGATATCATAACCCAACATGTCTGCGGGATATAACGTGTCTAACCATTCTGTCAGATCTATTCAGAAACCGACATCGGTTTTTTCTTTTAAATAGATTTTGTATTAATAAATCTAGTGCATTCGTATTTTTTTTTTCTTAAAATATGAGATTTTTATGTCTTGGAAAAATTACTCTCGTTCGATCTGATCTACTTTAATGTAGCTGTCTGTCGTAAACACCGATGACAATTGATATTAAATCAAATAATTATAAATTAGTTTTGAGGTTGAAGATATTATGATATTATTGAGAAACTTCCATTAGAACAATGGTTTAGTCAATCTTATTATATTAATCATATTTTCGCTCAATATTTTCTGCAATAGTGTGTTAAATTAATTTATTTTTTATTATACAATAATTTATATACGTACTTATCATGCAGAAAGGATTCTCCAACAAGTATTTAAATGTATAATAAATTATTAATGTACGGCATATCAAAGTCTTTGAGGCGCATGAAACAATGTTCATAAACAAGGATTACATGTACTTGAACATTGCACATATTATACAAAAACACTTAAAACCAAAGTTAAATGTAGTCGTCGAATTAATATTTGAATTATTTTAAATTTATAAGCAACAGTATAATTTTTGATTAATTTTTTTTATGTTAACCTTACAATTATAAGAATAATTCAGGATTGGAATTAAAAAACTGAGACAAATAATTGATGCGGATTGCGACGTCACTAGAAGCATTTTGAAAGATATTTTTGTTAATTGTTCAAATACTATAGCGGCGTTAAATTTAGCATTTTTCTCTAGCTTGTTAATCTTGTCAATTATTTTTTTCATTTTTACATAGATAATTATAGTAATACAAATCATTATTTTACATAGTTTTTCCAGATTCCATTAACCCTCACTAAAAAGACATTTTATAATTTTTAGTAGTTGAAATCAGAGTTGACGCCGCCATAGTTATTAAACAAATTT